AAATACAAATACATTAAAGAAAGTCTATAAATATGGTTTTATGAAAGCTTAACTCCTCAGGCAGGTGGCTCCAAAACCGAGGGGTCCTCATAGTAAAAGCACTGTCAGCACAGAGCTTTGTCAGTGGGTAATATAACATTTATGAAGCACTGCCTGGTTATTCTGGATAATCCACACACACTGTGAACAGTTTCAACTACCAAAGAAAACCCACCACTGAAAGCCTTGGATCACTCTTTTTCTTTATTAAGAAGATATTATTATATGTAATATATAAATAAAAGGATTCTGTAAGTCATTATAATGCGAAACTTTCTCAAAATAATGACGTTGTGATACTAAGTCAGCGGAGGGCCACTGACCAAGCTGCAGTATATGACAAGTTGGGAGTGAGGTTGGAATATATCTATATGTTTCTTAAGAATGGTACTGCTAATTAAGTTGCACTATGAGGTATATAGCCTTAGAAGGAGCTGTTTTTATCTACAGGTATTATAGCTTGCCTTCTGTGGAGGCCACCATGTTTCTACAGTAGCCTAGAACAGACAAACCAAACACTCTGGATAGGGCCATTTGTGTGTTTTGCAGCCACTATAGTTTCTCCTGCACACTTCACAGCCCGTTCTCGTTCCCATGTCTGTACAGTTAGATGCAATGTGCAACCGCTAGATGCCACTAAATCCAAGACGCCTGTGTGTAACAGCTCAGTGTTACCAGGTTTGGACCCAACAGCACGACGAAGAGACCAGGAAGGTAAAGTGTAAAGTTCAGTTTTACTCGTGAAAAACGTTTAGACCAGCCAGGCTGAGAGTTTATGATAGAGCAAAAAATAGTAAAATACGGCTGCTAAGGAGCGTAGCAGTGAAAGTAAAGTATGGAGAGTTGCTGCAACCAGCCAGCACTACACACTGCAGTGAGGCCTCGCATGTGTTTAAAGCAGGATAAACCATTCCTATGCAGACAAGGCCACAGACTGTGACAGTTTTCATCTAAATAGCCTCAACTCTTTTAAATAACTTGACAGATCAAAGTGCACATACAAGGGCTTTTTTATTTACTGTTTATTTTAGGGGACAAGCACATTGCATGGGCCGGTGTCACGTACCACATTGTTTATAGTATCAGCTAGTTTGCAGTGCTCGTCCCTATGTGGGCCTTTTCACAAATCCACAGAGATCAACAGAAATCCATACAAAAGAGCACAAATAGACACAAGCAATTACATTGTTGGTAGGAAAGATTGCAAGGACCCTAAACTGGAAATTCCTTGTGCAGCTACACCATGCTGTTTACATGATTCATACATCGCGGTTCACTCGCAGTCTGTTAATTTGATCCCCAGCCAGATCGGAGAGTGAAGTGTTATCGATTGAGGAGCTGTGCAGATATTTTATTACAGAAGCTAATGGCGTCCCAAGGGGGAGGAAGATCAATTTCTGATATGTTTCTCCTTAGTGACCTCACTAACCCACTTCCATCTTCCTTCGTAGTACTCCCCTCAGTTTCAAAACCAGCTGTGTCAAATGCAAATTGAGGTAGCATCACAAGAACAAAACTGCTATTCTAAAGAACAGACATTTTATACATTTTACCCCTGGTTTGAACCAGCTAATCTCTGGTTTGAACCAGTTTTATAACTATCTTTAGCCTGTTTTTTCAGATATCCTAAATGAGCCTGCAACACAGATATAAAACTGAATAAAAAATATCCATAAAAATCTATAAAACAAAAATGATTATGCACTGGTTTTAAAAAGTGTCAACCAGTTTACCTCAGGTTGGTTGGGGTTCAGGAAATATCACCTATTTAACATCAACAAGAAAGGATTCCTGTGTGTTGAATGTTGTTACTCACTCTAATTTCTCCTCCTTCCTCGTCTGCCTCGTCGTTAGAAAATCAAACAAACCCAACCCCTTCAGACCCTGTGTCCATTACAATGGACGTCACATGACAGGGGCTTTTTTTTACGTTTTGCAATATTTAACACCACTTGAACCCTCAA